TTGTAATACAACAGACAAATGACAACGCCTCGCTAGTGAGACAGCATAATAAGGACCATCTAATTTTCTCCTTAAAATCCATTTATTCTCCAAAGCCCTCGATCATCATCAAGGGAGCACATTTTTCAACCAAGGAATTACAGAGGAGGAGAATTAGATTTTATTAAATATTCCAATTGTGGTGAGCAAACTCTTCGCAAATAGCTCTTGGAATAGATTTAATAAGAAAGGAAGGTCAATATCAGTATCCTTACAGCCAACATTGTGAAATATTTCGACGACTTTTGTGCCTTGATAGTATTTCATTAGTATCCTTAAAGTCAGTTGCTGCCTGGGACTATCAAGTGATCACCTTTTAGTTAGTTAATTATCTGATATCTCATATTTGTTAAACTTTCAACACGCTAGCAGATTTAAATGTTCCCCTTTAGTATGTAACCTTGTAACAGCCACATAAAAAGTAACTTGTAAATTAATGCAGAGTTAATAACATGATTATCAACCTGCCACTTATATAGCAGAAGTTACAAGTTGTAGCAATATGGCTTCTAGCATCTTTTTTAGGGTGACTATAAATGTCTAGTTAAGTAACTCTGTGAAGAATGTCTTTATGAAAAGATATGCTGTTTTTAGGCATAATGGGGAAAATATTCAGTTAAGCATGTTCAAATAAATTAAATCCACAATATTAATTTTCATGATGGAACGATTTCTTCAAATGAATTCGCCAGCAGGAAGCCCAGAAGTGAAAAATGTAACTGTTGTTATTCTGGATTAGCAATAATGCAGAGAAGACTCGCATATGTTGAACTTTTAGAGACAAACTTCACGAGGAACTCTTCATAATTGGAGTTCAAAACTTTCCGAAGAAAAATTTCATAGGCAAGGTGTAAAACCTCTGGTTGCCAAATGAAGATCCTGGCCCTCACCACAGTGCCAGGTGCACATCTGGGGCAAGCGTCCTACCTGGGCTGATGCAAATCTTACCAATCTCAGGAGAAAACATTGGCCATCCTCTCTTTGGAGCTGCGTGTCCCCAGTAGGAGGCGTGCAGGAGGCAACCAATCAATGATTCCCTCTCATTATTGATGTTTCCATCTTTCTCTCTCTCCCTCTGCCTCCCTCTCTCTGAAGTCAATAAAACATATTTAAAAAACAATAATCGGCCTTAACCGGTTTGGCTCAGTGGATAGAGCGTCGGCCTGCGGACTCAAGGGTCCCAGGTTCGATTCCAGTCAAGGGCATGTACCTTGGTTGCGGGCACATACCCAGTAGGGAGTGTGCAAGAGGCAGCTGATCGATGTTTCTCTCTCATCGATGTTTCTAACTCTCTTTCCCTCTCCCTTCCTCTCTGTGAAAAATCAATAAAATATATTTTTAAAAAAAACAATAATCTGATAGATCTCTCAATCTCAGACTTTATTGCAGCTACAAAATAAATATTTTTAAATGGCTTACCATGCCTTATAAAAACGCATTCCATTACGTTTGCTCATTACTCAAAAGTAATATTTTAGATTCAAATGCAAATTGAGCCTTTAGGTTAAGACTTACAGACTAATATGGTCTGATCTAATCTACCGAAAATCTTGGACACATCATTGCACATCATTTCATTCATAAGTTAAAATTCAAATCAGAAACTCTTTCAAAGCCACTTTTAAAACCATAATTGAAAATTACTACACAATGTAAGGAATCTATTAGAAGCAAGACAGTGGTTACAAAGCAAAGGTCGTATAAACATATTCATCTCAACAGTTCACATTTAACCATCCTATAGGTTACATATTTTTCCTGCCAATGACATGCCAATATTTGGCTCTGTGCAATGTTCTAAAGTACATAACAAACTAGACAGGGTATATATAAATATTACAGGCAAATATAAACGGACCTATTGATTTATAATAAAAATTATATAAACGTATACTTTTCCTGAAACCTACTGACCCCAAGAAGTCTGACGCCAGGGTCATAAAAGGGAGGAAATGAAAGAATTTCAGTCCCCGATGTATTAGTGAGAGAGAAAAAGGAAAGAAAAAAAAAAAGAAGCCCTCCAACTGAATATTGGATTATTGCAGGCCATCCTCATAAGCAAAATATTTCCCCTCAATTACGCCTAATGATTTAACTGTTTACACTCACTAATGAAATGAAACAACACAAAACAAACAATTGCAAGGGGCTGTTTTTCCGCCAGTGCATCGTCATCTATCAACACGTTCGGGAAGATTCTTAAAATTCTGTGAAGCTGGCCTGTTGCAACAGAGAGGCATATTTTATCGCAATCGGGGCATAGAAGTAAAATCGCCCCTAACCGAGGCGTGCGGCTCCGTGTACAGTGCAGCCGTAATGAGGCCCACACGCCGCCCGGGCGCATCAATTACCATCATCATAATCACGGTCGTTAGGCTGCATGCTCATTACAACCGGGGTCCCGGTGACAGCGGATTCAATCACCGGGTGCGACGGGCAAGCAGCCCCGGTCCCACCCAAGTTTCTGCAGACGGCGATGTGCCACATTAAACCTCTGATACGTTCCACATCCCCCTCCATTCCCGGAGCCCTCGGCGGTAGAGGTCAGCTTTATGTTCTGTGCAATATGCTTAGGCCCTCGAAATTAATTCTCTGGAGTGCTGGATGTTTCTAGGCTTTGGAGCTTCTCAGTTCTTGTTTAGGACCAAAATGCACGTGAACAATACAAAACAAAACACACAAAAAAGAAGGCTGCTCTGCCGGTGTCATTCACCAACAATAAAGCAGGCCAACATCAGTCTCTTCCCGAGTTTTGCGAACAAAGGAAAACACGAACAGTCCCACTAAAGTCAGTTGTCTAAAGTGAACATAAAAACTAATTCCAATTAAGATAGAGGGGCCTAGCCCTAGCCGGTTTGGCTCAGTGGATAGAGTGTCCGCCTGCGGACTGGGGGGTCCCGGGTTTAATTCCGGCCAAGGGCACATGCCCGGGTTGCAGCTCGATCCCCACCGGGTTCAATTTCGGCCAAGGGCACATGCCCGGGTTGCAGCTAGGGGGCGTGCAGGAGGCAGCCAATCAATGATTCTCATCATTGATGTTTCTCTCTCTCCCTCTCCCTTTCTCTCTGAAACCAATAAAAAAAATATATTTAAAAATATATAAAAAACATGTTTAAAAAAAAGATAGAGGGGCCTAGATCATTTCTGCATTGGTTAACACAAACATATGTAAATGTTTTGACAATCAATAAAAAAACATGTTTAAAAAAAGATAGAGGGACCTAGATCATCATTTCTGCGTTGGTTAACACAAACATATGTAAATGTTTTGACAATCAAAAGAATGTTTTTAGTATACGGAGCTTTTAATTGTCCAATACTTTTAGATCTACCCAAATAGATTAAATTAATAGCGACTGGTACATTCCCCTTATTAAGTTTCACTTCAATTTCAGATATTGAAACGAGCACAATGAAGAATTTATAAATACAAAGTAGATACCAGCACTTAAAAAGTTTGGCTATTTAACACACAATTTAACTCCAGGCATTTTACAAGTACATCAAAGAAATATGATTAAGTTATATATCATTTGTACTTTATTTTTTAATAATTGATGTCTATACTTTCAAGAAGAATGATATATATGTTATTTTTCATTATTGATTATCATACTTTCAGTAGAAAATAGCATTATTTACTCTCAACTCCCTGACTTTGTGATATCTTTGTATAGTGTTATTCATATTACTACATTAAACATAAAGCAAAAATATTAAAAATATTTGACATATTCATCAATCTTGTGTGATGTAATTCGAGAAAGATTAACATTTGCTTTTCTCTCAACTGACACCCTTCAAAACAACTGTGTGACAGATTATTTGAAAATTATAATCTCTCTGCTTAAAGATGGTAGAAGAGAAAGACAGTTCTCTGTGTAGACAATCTTCAACCATGATGGAAAGGGTGAAGAACAGGAACCGCAAATACTTGAGCTGTTACTTGGCTGAAAGCAATCTATTGTGCTCAACTACATCATATGTGCATTTACAAGTTTTTAATAGTCCGTCTTCCCCTAGCAGAAGCCTAAAACCACTCCAGCCTTTTCCTTCTTCAACATTCTGAATGTCACAACTCCAACCTCCCTAAAACTGTCTTTAATCAACTAAAAATGAGTAAATTGTGGCCCCCAATTTCTGAGATCAAGAAACAAAGTTTTATAAAAAAAAGAAAAATAAGCCTGATTTTAGCAGTTTATGGGGTACAACAAGTCTCACCCAAATCACTTAATATCAAATTGAAATAAAAATATTTTTAATAATTCTAAGGTTTACATATCAATAATAGAAGGACTACTTCCGTATTGTGCAGGTTATACTGCTACAGAGAGGGATGACTTATTTATTTAATACGGTTATTTGAAGAGATTAGAAGGAAGGTGGGACGAAGTAGGAAAGGAAGGGAGAAAATGAAGGGAGGGGAGGAGAGAAAGAGAAATTCAAATTTGCATTTAATGTTTTTCTACGTGGTTTTGTGTAGGGTTAAGTAGACGAATGATTCATTAAAATTTAAAGAATTCCTATACATTTCTTGCTTAATTTTCAGGGTCTACAAGAACAATTACTCATCACTAATTCTTTAACTATATGTACATTCTAAAAGTATAGAAGGGTACACAATGACTCCTAAAAAACAACAACACCCAAATAAACTATTTTTCTTTTTAATGAGTATCCAAAAATCTCTACATCTCCATAAACTGCTTACTTAAGTGAGATACAGGCGTATTCTTGGAATATGTCAGGATGCATGAAGTGAATCTGTTGTAGAAAGCCAACAAGTACCATATTCTTTTAGGAAGAGACATTTGCATAAGGATCTTTGTTTTTCTGAAGTAGCTTCATGTCCAATGGTGAGTCATTTGTATTTTAGACGGTATTAATTGTAATTCATATTTGTTGTCTCTTTTAGCCTTTTCAAGGGGACACTATTTTTTTTTAATGTTGCGTCAACTCACCTTGCCACCGATCCACTTGTTAGGGCTTTCATCTCTGAAACGGTGATATCCATAAGCGTCAGTACCATACTTGGTTGATAAATGCATTGATGGAACGTACCTTTCATTCTTATGGTAGGAAGAGAATGGCAAAAACCTGAAAGACCAGTAAGGTGTTATTCTTCATTGGATTTCTAGAGACGTCTGATTAAAAAAAATAAAAATTCAGCCTGGCTGGTGTGGCTCAGTGGTTGAGCATCAACCCATGAACCAGAAGGTCACAGGTTCTATACAGTAAGGTGCTATTCTTCATTGGATTTCTAGAGACGTTTTGATTAAAAAAAATAAAAATTCAGCCTGGCTGGTGTAGCTCAGTGGTTGAGCATCAACCCATGAACCAGAAGGTCACAGGTTCTATTCCCAGTCAGGGGACATGCCTGGGTTATGGACTCAATCCCCAATGGGGGCATGCAGTGGTTTATACAAACACGTCATTACTTGAATGTCTGGGCAGTTGGAGAACAACTGGTAGAGGTCTCAGAAAGCACAATTTAAAAACAGCCAATTAGCTTCAGGGAAAAATGGAACCATTGCAAATCTATAGTCTTGATGCACTGAGAATTAACATACTTCCTATTTTTTCCCCAATAAGAAAAATTACACTTACCATTTTGTTCTGATAACTCTCTTTCATTTCCCCTCATTTTTATAGGCACTTATAATTCTAGATTCTCCTCCAACCCATCTATTTCACTGGCAGATAATTCAAACTGACAAATTATGAACCCCAGTTGCCTGTTGGGTCAAGCCTACATTATTCAGCCCGGCTGTCAGGCCACCCAGCATGCACTGGGTTGGTTTGCCTTTCTACCACTCCTGCCCTGTCCTAGTTTTATGACGTGTTGGTCTGCATACACTAAACTCGTATGTAATATTCTCAGAAAGTATTCCAAATTGTCCATTATGTCGATGTTATACATCTTAAAGTCTTTAGACTTAGAGGTCTGTAATAACAAAATTCCACTATTCTGTGGTCATTTATTGAAGAGAAAAAACAAACATTCTATTTTCAAGGAAACACGGAACAACGAGAGAGCAATCGTCACCGTACAGCTAAGAAAAGGATCTTTTGTAGACAAATTCTAGAACTTCTTAATGATACACAAGCTTATTATCTGTGTCCCCAGTGTTCTAAAGCACCAGACTTCATTAGGAAAAAAAAATTAAGCTGGAAAAATGGAGGCAGCTCTTTGCAAATTTCCGCTGGAAATGGGCTGGGAAAGGCAGAAGGCTGGATCAAAAGAGGGTAATCATGCTAACTGTGCCCCGAGCACTGCGTGGGTGATACGATTTGCACACTAACTACCTCTCTCATTACTGCTTGTTTGGAGTGTTCTGTGTTAATGGGGTTAGCTAATCTAGTATTTTAACTTAAAAAGGCTCCGCTGATTAATAAATGTTGCACACTGTGCTAGTAATTAAAACAAATGGGAGAGTTACAAATAAAAGTTGAATTGTTAAGAAAACACTCTCTGAAAACATATGATAATGCCTATTTACCATAATACAATAACCGTTCAGAAAGCATGCGGATTGCAGAGGGCTAAAGGGTTTGAAGAATCACATAAGTAAAGCAAAAGTTTTGAGGCGTGTTGAACTTCCTTATCACTATTCTTTGGTAATAAACAGAACCAGGTCTCATTTCTATACACTACATTTAAAAAGCATTTTTTTTCTGAAAAACATCAGAAAAAAAAAAGTGGGTTTTTTTCCATTGATTTTTAGAGAGAACGGAAGGGAGAGAGAGAAAGAGAGAGAAACCCTGATGTGAGAGACACATATCGACTGGTTGCCTCCGACTGGGGTTGGGGATCGAACCTGAAACTCAGGTATGTGCCCTTGACCAGAAGGAATCAAACTTGAGACCAGAAGGGCTATAGTTTAAATTGTGTTCTTTAATTAAAATTCTATATATTTTGCTTAATAACTATGATACCATAGCAACCAGTTAATCACAATGCATAGCCACATGCAGAAGCTGCAACCGTGAATTGGAGAGATATTTAAAAGGCAGAAAGGAGAATCTGAGGACCAATATGACGCTGGAGAAGGAGAACAGAGAAACTCACATGTCCCTACCCTGGGTATAGCGTTGGGCCTGCAATTCACACTCAAGACAAGAAGCTGGCCCTGGCCGGTTTGGCTCAGTGGATAGAGCGCCGGCCTGCGGAATGAAGGGTCCTGGGTTCGATTCCAGCCAAGGGCACATGCCCGGGGTTGCATGCTCAATCCTCAATAGGGGGCATGCAGGAGGCAGCCAATCAATGATTCTCTCTCATCATGGATGTTTCTATCTCTCTCTCCTTCTCTGAAATCAATAAAAAATATATTTAAGAAGGAGGAGGAG